CGCCGTCACCTCGCGCGACGCCCGCCGGGGAGACGGAGAGGACGGCCTTCCGCCGAGGAAGCCGCCAACTGCCGCGACGTCGGTGCGCGGATGGGCCGCGTGCCTGTTGAAGGACTCGGGGGGAAGTGGCGGTCTCAGGCGGGGGCGGCTGCCGTTGATAAAGGCTCGCAAAGGCCAGGGGCGGATACGGTCGGGGGGCACGTGGCGTCCGAAGCCAATCCCGCAGACGGGAGTTCGAGTGGCCAGGAAAACAAAGCACGTGCAGCGCGCGAAGGGAGGGCGGGTTAAGAGCCGTCTTAAGTGCTTCCTTTTCGTCAGCAATTTTGGAAATTGCTAATTCTGAGGAATCACCCATGATGAGTGTTGCGCTAATAATCATGTGCGATCGTGGTAAGAAATGACTCTTTCTTTTTTGCTATTTCCATATTCTTGTTGCTGATGTAAAATAAGTTGTATGCCCTTTAGGGACGGAGGTTTTTTATTCATTATTACTCTGGGCGACTGTTGTGGTGTTTTGCATTGGTGGTGTGTCCGCATAGTGGGTGTGTGGAGCAACATTTCCCGCTGGCTGCGAGTTGATTTCTCACGCGTTTCCGTGCTCTTTTCTATTGACACTTACCCCGCGCGTTCGCAACTATTTTGTATAGGGGTTGGATAATAATAATAGTAATTATTATTTTCCTCGGTGAGCTTTGGGGTTTTTTGTTGCTTTTTTTTCTGACTATTGTGTTATCGCGCTGACGTTTTTCTTACATCTTCTGTTTCCTCTTTATTTGTTTTATTCCCCCTGCTTTTTAAAAAGAAATTAATATATATACATATATATACATACATATATATATATATATGTATATCTGCAACTTTTTTTTGTCGTTCTGTTTTGTTACTTTATCCGGATTTGTTTTTTTCTTCCCTTTTGAATTTTTTCTCCCCCATTTAACCCCATAAATGCTTAATTCTACTTTAGCGTTTTAGTACTGGTAGGGGCAATGTTGGGGCGTTGTGTTTTTGCCGATCAGACTAACCGTCCTATTCTGACGCGAAAGTCGTTACCCCCCTTGGTTTCCCAGCCACTCGGTGGGAGGAACAAGACCCTTAATGCTACTTCAAAAGGAATTGAAGAGACACAGCATAATTTGGGGCATGATTTGACTGAGCGTTCTGTATATGTGCCTGAATACAGTGCAGAAATTGCGGATTACCTTCTAGTCGCTGAAAGGAGTCATTATCGTGACCCAAGTTACATGTCGAATCAGCCCGAGGTAACGGAAAAAATGCGTATGATTCTTGTGGATTGGCTTGTTGATGTGACCACAAAATTTAAGCTTCATTCTGAGACGTTTTACCTGGCCATTGACATTGTGGATCGCTATTTGTGTGCGAAAAAGGTATGTCGGGCAAAGCTTCAGTTGGTCGGCATCGCTTCTATTCTCGTTGCCGCAAAACTCGAAGAAATATGGCCTCCGGGGATTAAAGATTGCATATTTATTTGTGCAAATACATATTCAGCAGGGGAAGTTTTTGGGATGGAACGAGATATTGTTGTTACACTGCGATTTCGATTTACTGTTCCGACGACGTACCCGCTAGCTTGTCACTTTTTAGACTCTGGAAATAATGAATCGATGGTGCGTGACGCAACCTTTTTCTTTTTGGAGTCGGCTTCTCACAGCTATGAAATGCTGCAGTACTTGCCTTCCCGTGTTGCAGCCGCTTCAGTTGTACTTGGTCGCCTACTTGTGGCGTGGAATCGTTGCGCGGATCGTGCAGCCATTTCACAAGATAAACTATGGGATCGTGAGATGATTCATGCTAGTCGGGGAATCACACTAGACGAAACTTTTCCTGTGTTAGAGATACTCTTGAGTTTCACAAAGAACCTATCTTCTTCATCTTCAAAACTGCAAGCCATTCGTCGAAAGTATCTTTCACAAAAATTCACTAATGTGGCTTCACTAGAGATGCCTTTGCTTTCAACGGTCTTTTTGGCTTTGAAGAAAGTGCCGGAATAAAGCATTTTGGTTCCCCCTATTATATATGCCCTTGCGGATAGATAGATAGATATGTGGTTATCATTTTTTTTCTTCTTTTAAATTAGAACGCGTGCACGAGACTCATCAACTACATCAGAGAAGCTGTTTTTCTTTTTCGTTCTTTTTTTTTCCAGGGGGCTAAACAGTTCTCCTTCACCTTTTTTTTTCTTATTAGTCTGCTGTGAAAAAGCACGTACAAAGATCCTGAACACGATGAATATGGCAAGAAACAACCAAATAATTCTTAAAAAAAACTGCCAAGAGAAACAAATTTAATTTACAACTTTTTCTTCTCTCCCCATCCCTCTTTTTCTTTTTTTTATTTGCCTCATTTTTATTGCTACTTGCGTTATTCTTTCTTCTCATTTAGGCAGCTACTAGACATGAAGAACAGCGTGGCGCGCACTCAACCTACTCGCCGCTATGAGAATTTTACACTGGAAAACAACTTGCCTTTGTCTATAGGCGCCAATTTTCACGACGACCCATTTTGTCGTGACAGCCTCCGAAAAAGTCATAACCTTTTGTTGCCACAGAAGGTGGATTACGCTCCCCATACCGAGTATATTTACAACGGAGGTGGTTTTTCGCGAGGAGGGAAATCGAGGGCCGAAGCTGCAGCCGATGATGAAGAGAGCGATGAGGAAGATGTGTTTGATGGATGGCTTACTGCGAACTTTGATGCACCAAACGGCGGAAAGGACCACGTGGTTCGTTTTTTGGCTTATTTTTTGGAAGCCATTCCTGAATCCCCGACTGAAACTACCCTTGTGAGAAAGGTATGCATTCGTTATTATACGCAGGATAACAGTTTGTCGGTTATAGAGGCGAAACAAGACAATAGTGGTATTGTGCAATCAAGGATATTGTCGCGTCGACAAGTGCCGAAAAGGATGGATGACGTTAATGAAATTATCTTACTTGATGATTTTCATATTGGGGACTCAATTGAAATTTTTAAACGAAAATATTATCTTTTGGATATGGACGAGCGAAGTCGGCTCTACTACAAGAAAATACGCGGTGAAGAGGTTCCGGAGGCCTTGCCATGGCCAAATGAACTGGATAAATTTGGTACCACAATGGCAGCGCAGCATTCTAAAACGACGCATCGCATGGCGACATCTGAGGATATGGATAGGAAGCGGGCCATTGAACAACAACTTACTGGTATTTACACAAAGCATGCCACGGAAGATATTCTTGCCGCGCAGAAGTTTTTGAAACACAATATAAATGAGCATTTAACCTTCCTGGCGTTGTGGGACGACCGTGAAAATCTCAAAGGGGATTTGCGTTTTTGTGCCATTCGTATTTATCTGGAAAATGATACAATTGAAATTGTAGAAATAAGACCTGAGAATTCCGGACGTGTAGGTGGTGCAATACTACTGGGTCGGCAACGAGTTCCTCGTCCTGGTGTTGACCTGCAAAAGACGCGGTTCCAAGAACACACCTTTGGTGTAATAATGAAACGTGACTTCCTTGTGGCCGAAGATATGCAAATTGGTGAAGCTTACATCATTCATGGCAAACCATACTACATTTATGACGCAGACTCGTTTACACGGGACTATATGCAAACCAAACTTGGTATTAAACTTGCCCCCAAAGCGGACATTGATGCATTTGTTAAAGTTGACGCGAAAGACCCCGTTAAGTTTTATCCTCCTCCACCGAATGGGTTTGGTAGTGAACGTGAAAAACGCGCTAACTGGCTTACCTTGGCGGCAAAACCTCAAAAACCTGATTTCGCTAAATTAGAAAAGGAAGAGGGACGTGTCATGCGTTTCTTGGCAGAGTTGGCCAACCCATTGGTTCGAGGGGATGAAAAGAGGCAATTTGTGATTTCGTTTCATCGGGCAAAAGATGAGGTTGAGATTTTTGAAAAACCCGAAAGAAACTCAGGATTCATTGCTGGACGGTTTCTCTGCAGAGGAGTTTATGAAAAACGGTTGCCTGACGGCTCAAGTGTTCCTTATACGCCTGAAGATTTTGAGGTGGGCAAGGAAATTGTTATCTTGGAGCGACCGTTTAAACTCATTGCGATGGATAATGAAACGAAGAGAATTTTAGAAGATAAAGAAGTCTTTGCCACCGAGAATCGAATGCGAGATTTACTACTCTTATTTAAACAGCAAATACAATTAAAGTTTCTTCGGGTCCATGAGGCGTATTGCACGCTGGCACCCGAAGGTGTACTCGGCTACCGACAAGTTCTTGAGTTTTTGCGGTCATGTAGCTGCACAATAACGGATGAGGAGGCTGTTTTGCTTGTGCAAAATATTGTTCCTGATAGCACTGGCGTTATCTCATTTGGCCAGTTTCTTAAAGTAGTGAATGTCACTTCTTCGGGACACATGGACGAGGCTTCGCTCACGGCGCGCTCTGTGAAGAGAGTTAATATGACCAAAGACGAGACACTCAAAGAGGTTGCCGCAAAGGCCGAACGTGCTGAGCGGAGAAAAAAGTTGGCAGTTGACTTGCGACAGAAGCTGATACAGAGGAGGGGAACTGCGCAAGAGCAGTTTCGTCTGCTTGGTGGCCATAGCGCCACATCACGAATGAATCGCGACGTTTTTCGGCGGTCACTGAATGATATTATGCACTACAATATGCCAAAAGAAGATGAGGATATGCTGGTGTCTATTTTATTTGATGGCCACGAGGATGAGAATGGCGACATTACATACAAGCAGTTTCAGGAATTCACGGATCAAGATGACTCCCTATGAATTTTGTGCGTGTTAACTTCTAGAGACATGTAAAGAATTTTCCCTTTCTAAAAAAAGAAACACACACACACACGCAATTATCCGTGTGTTTCTTTTTATGTATGTCTCTCTCTCTTCCTGTGTGTGTGTGCATTGGAATGTATATGCATTTAAAAGTGAGGGAAATACAACAATGAGAGATGCTTTAAACAAAAAACAAAAACAAATGTGCAACAACATCAACAAAGACAAGAAGGTTTTACATAGGCCCACCCAAAGATTGGAGGGCAAAATGAAGAAGAAAGCTGTGAATAAGATGGGAAAGAGCACACGAGAAACTTTGATACTGAGGCCATGATGTAAATGAAACTCATTCAAAGACCTTAAATTTGCTGTCATTTATTCTTGCTTTAATTTGTCTGTAAACTTCTCTGCGGCATTTATTTACATTTTTT